AAAATTTTTATATAACTTTTAGTAGTAATAAGAACTGTCCAAGAAAAAACCTTCCCACACAAAAACTCACATATCCTCCAAACCACTTAAAAAAAAAAACAATTTTTTAATTTAGTAGGCTTTGCAATGAATGTAAGAAACGATTGAAACAGTTAGTTTCGTAATCGCTTTGTTCTCAGTTGCAAAATGACAAGTGAAGTAGAAACACGCAAATCCATAATCAAAATTTTTCAAGAACACCCGGAGTGGAGTTTCATCAAAATCGCGCGGGAGGCGGGAGTTTGCAGGAAAACGATCAATAGTCATTAGGCGTTTCAAGGACTTGACTATCAACGTAAAGAAGGATCTGGAAAGAAAAAGGGTCCGAAAACAGCGAAGAAAGAGGGCATTCGAGGAAGTGACCACCACTTGACAAGTAAAAAGTATGATGGAGGGGATTCCAGAAAAAATTAGAAATTTTTGTCAAAAGTAGTTTTTAAGAATTTTTTAAAATATAGTTTTAATTGTAATTAAAAGACGTTTTTAAGATGGGTTTGCTTTTGAAAATCGGTCAAGTGGTTTGGAGGATATGTGAGTTTTTGTGTGGGAAAGTTTTTTCTTGGACAGTCCTTAGTGATGAGAATTTTTTCGTGATATATGTAGATAAAAAAACTGGGATTAGTATAACATCAGTCATAATTCAAAGCAACATTGAAATACTTTCATATTTAGAAGATAAATCTAAGGAACTAGATATTCTTAATTTGTATTTATCCCCCTCCCCCCCCTTCTTGCATCAAACAAATTTTTTAAAAAATATAACACATTATTGTCATCATCAATGCCAGTAGAGCGCTTTTTTAGTTGTGGACAAATATTAATTCTACGTAAAAACTGTTTGTCAGACAAAATTAATGTAAAATTAATTATCTTTATCTTATCTAAGATACATATTTGTGTGATTTATTAAAAATTATCTATATCAAGATAATTTTTAATTATCTAAGCGTAAACACTGAAAATAATTACTTCCTTGTTAACATCAGCTGTATTTGATGTAATATTAATAAAAACATAATGAGAATAAGAAAGAAAGTAAGGAAAATAAGATAATAGGAATTTTGAAATTTAATTTTCAATTTTCAAGATAAAAAATTTATTAAAAAATTAAAAGATTGAAATTTATAAAATTAATTTATAATATTAATTAATCAATAATGCTGAACTATATATACATGATGGATTTCGAACCTTTTTAATATACAAATTAATATCTCAATTTTGGATTGTGTCTATGATATTGTAGTTTGCGAAAAATCTTTGTTTTAACGCGATTTATAATATTATATATAATGTTGACACACGATATATTGCAGCAAAATTTATTGAAACAAACTATATAATGTTTAATTGCGTATGTGATTTAAATGAAAGGATATTTAATTGCTGAAGGAGCAATTTGATATGATAGAGTTATAATTACTTGGAACAAATTAATTCGGGATTATAAATATTTTTTCTTTCATGCTTGCATCGCTTTTCTGTCCTCGACGCTTCCTGCCGGAAATTAGTGAGGGGACGGTAACGAATCGCTGCCTTCCTTCTGTCAATCGTGCATCTTGAAATAAACCGATTAATTTTTTCTTATTGAAACTATTTTCACAATAGGAATTAATTTACATCTAATTAATTTCCGCTATGAATTATTGAAGCTAAATAATTTTAATCTTTAGATATATTGATAGATAAAATGCTATTTCAGTGCTTGTTAAAAATTTAATATTTGTACATAACTACATTTTAATTAAATATGATATTTAAAAAATTTAAATATCCCGAGGACAGAAGGTTGTAGCCATAAAATTTGCCAGACGAGAATATATTTTATATTTATATACTTAATTTATAATATATTAAAAAACCAATAAATTAATAAAAAAAAAAACAAGAACTACCTTGGATATTTGTTACACATGCTCATCAGAGTATACAAGATTATTTCTAAATAACAGGGACCGTTAAAAGGGGAAGGCAAATATGGAACGAGGAGTGTCAACGGATGTGCAAGTGACGACACGGCATAGTTTTGAAGATGAAACAATGAGAACTAGCGACACGGTCAGTTGCAAGCTGGGAGCGGATTCGCTCGTCCATGATCAATTATTGTCATTTAGAAGCTACGCCTTACAAAATCCATCTAAGATTGTAAACATGGAAAAAAAGCGAAGAAAAATACAGAATAGGAAACTAACAATCTTCTAGATAAAGATCTGATGCGTGTTGTGTTTAATTAGCGTAACGGACGAATAATATTCGTAAGCAGAATGATTTTATTATGTTGTTAAACAGAAGAAATACATAATTACATAAGTCACTTCAATTTTCTGTGAAAAGTATGGCGTCGACGATGAAGGAATGGAAGATGCGCTTCATATTTAAGATAGTCGTATTACTGAATATTAAGATTAAGATTAAGCTGATTAACTTGTTCGTAAATCGGAATAAAATAGGAATTATTTGAAACTTTTGAAATATTATAAACTCCATGGATGTTTGATTTTTTTTTAAATAAAATGACTAATAAGTAAACAAAGAGAGAGTCAAGCTAACCTAACTCTCTATATCATCAAAATTCATGTACATATAAAACAAATGTGCAATATACATGAATTTTAATATGTAGCATTAAACATCTAGCTTGACTCTTTCTTTGTTTACTTATTAACTTGTTTAAATTGATGAACCTTATTATATTATTTGAAGTATTGTTAAAATAAACTAGTTTTCTAAATAATTGAATTTTCCAACTTTTGCATATTTATTTTGTTTTCTTTTTGAGGCAAAAGGCAATCTACTCTGATATGAAAATTATAAATCAGGCTTTCGCATAGTATTGAGCAATTACATTCTTCTGATAAATTTCACACGAGTTTAAGAGTTGCCCCTCAACTGCCTTCAGCTTTGCACAAGTAGGCGGAGATCTATTCTGCGATCTAATCGGATAATTGCCGAGAAGGATAATTTGCGTTCCTTCCTTTTTGATCGACGTGGTTTACTAGGCTCGATATCAACGTGCAAGTATAGTAAAGTCTCGATAGCTATCGAGACTTTGCTCGAAGTTTCGTATAGTTCTAAATAATTTAAGGAAAATTATTAATAGCTTTTTTAACGTAAAGTAACTTTTTTGCTTTTTACAGAGAAATCTTATATCTATGTAATGTAAATTCAATTATAAATATAAGTACGTTTGGAATCTAAGAATTATTACATCTATAGCCTCTGTTATTTCTTATGTACACACACACACACACACACACACACACACACATACACATACACACACACACACACACACACAAAACAAGTCTTCTTTTGATGGCTTGTATTAGTCTCATTTAAACTTGATTTTAACAGATCTTCGACCTGTTGAGATTGTCATCAAGACATTTGATAGTCGACAGTAAAATAAAAGCGTCCTTACAAAAATTAATTACGAGAGCAGCAAAGCGAAAGAGAAAGACTCTATAATTAGATTTGCGCGCGTGCATCAGACTTTTACAACCGCCGCGATTCTTAACTTTATTAATTGCTGCAACCTCATTGCGGCAATTAATAAAGTTAATTTGATGCTCCGCTCTAGAGATCATTATAAGTTAGATGGTGCGAGCGCGAGCGCGAGTCAACGTCAGTGTCGCACTTACCTGCGCACCTACGCCCGCAATGCACCGTATGTGCAAGTGTGTGGGTTACATAGCCGTAGCAATTACTTAAGGCCGAATCGGTGTAAGACGCTCATGTAACTTGGCCGACGAAACTTTACCGGTTACTCTCTTAGTCTCATCCATTAGTAGACGGCTCGCCCTGTGACACGGTTGTGGTTACGTGTCTCGCTTCAGCGTTTACACACGGCCGGGTTTTTATCAATGTTGTAAGTTTAGGTGACAAGAAACTCGGTAAACTAGCTATTAATTCATGAATAGTTAAAGAAACTTGACTAAGTACTACACCGCGAAGAATAATTTCTGTATAAATATTTTTTCCATACAAATATTTTTTGAATATATTATATTACATCTTTGATTTTTGTTCATGAAATTGCTTATAATAGATAGTGCTTTCTATTAATAATTCTGTATAAATTTTGTATAAATATATAAATCATTCAGTTTTAGCTTTAATATATAAAATAATATACATCATAATATTTATTATACATATATAATATTATAATAATTTTAAATATTAAATTGTTATAAAAATTTATTTTTATAACATAATAAAAAAAGCTGTGCGTAATAAATGGATGAATTACTAATATTTCTTATTCTTATTGAGGGCACTTAATTAGCAATTATCTGCGCACCAATTGTATTTAACAAGCGTTCGCTAGTGAAAGCTGCCTCGACTCAGCATCAGTCTCCTTTCTAGCTGCATTGTTTCCGATGATAATACTCAATATGAAAACCCGATTTACATTCTCCTTTGAAAACGAAATAATATCACATTAATTCAGCTACATTGATGTTAATGACGAAAAAGATAATTGATAGCCGGAAAAGATAATTGATATCATGAGGAAGGAAGAAATATCTTCGGGAATCACTTTCAAAGATCTCTAAGGGTTGTGCCACAATTAATTGGGATCGCCTTCATAAATTGCCGAATTAATCGCGAAATTAAAAAGGATGACGAACGAGGGGAACTGACTTCTTCCTGTCTTGGGGCATCTTACATTGATTCTGCAATTAGCTATCGATTCATCTGACAAGACGAGGGCAGGAGTCAAGGAAGTCGGTTTCCTCATCTCCCAGTCTGGAGTCTGGACTACACTCTTCCTTGCTCGTCTTCTCTCTCTCTCTCTCTCTCTCTCTCTCTCTCTCTCTCTCTCTCTCTCTCTCTTTCTTATTCTGTCTCTGTATTTCTCTCTTAGTCTCTGTGTTTCTCTGTTGCTGTTCTTTCCCTCTACACTAGCCAATTAGGTTAATTAACTCAATTATCGTTCTCTTTCTCTCCTGTTTCAGGTGCGCACCTTGTTCGTGAGCGGCTTGCCGATGGACACCAAGCCGAGGGAGCTCTATCTGCTTTTCAGAGCGTACGAGGTGAATCTCTCAGAGAGTTTGCTCTCTCTCTATTCACTTTATATTTTATATATAGACATGCATTCGCGATGTTGAGATCAAAGAGGATCCGGGAGAATTCAAGATTTGGAAAGTTAAATATTCCAACGGTAATGCGCGAGTTCACGAATGTGAACGATACGGTATTAAAGGACCTAAAGTTCTGATAACATTAATATTCTATCGTAAAGTATAATCGAAAACATACACGGAAACAGAGTTCAAAGATTCAAAAGTTGAACGTGGAATGCTTAAAATTATAATTTTCGAGGTATTTACGATTAAAATTTTAAATCTTTGAAATTTTATGTATTTTGACATTTTAAGATTTTAATTTTTAAATGTCTATCAGAGAAAGAGAATAAAAATATAATTCTTTATAAATTTTAAAAATTAATTAATTTTATTATAATTAAGTTATTAAATTATGATTACACACGTCAGTAATTAATTTTGTTAGTAATTAATTTTGTAGCATTCTAAATCTAAATCTCTAAATATTTGTATGCAAAAGTGCGAGAATAGAAAAAAAATAATTGATTGCTTTCTTTGCTGAACACAGCAATGTATTGATTTCCAATATTCTCCAATTGATCTCATCGTTGTGTATTGTATTTGTCCGTATATTTCATATTTTGGGTAATTTCCTTTTGTCTTTGTTATCGCGTCAATTATCTTTCTTTACTTCATCCCACTCTTCGCCGGCACATTTAACTTGTTGTTCAATAAGTTCAACTGTGGTTCTCGTGATGCACGATTCTCGTGGTTTCATGCGAAACGCAACATTATGACTGAAGCGTTCGAACTGTATTCACAAGGGGAATATTCCCCTTATGAATCATATCGTCTACGCCGACCATCCGCCACGGGAGAGACGGTGCTTCTCTATAACGTCATATTTACTCGACTCGGGATCCTAGTTTAGTTTGTCTAGAGGATTAATTATGTCGGTGCCAATTACGAGCTTACATTTCGAGCTCCGACACCAGCCGAGACGAAAAATCGATAGTCATGGAATTTGATGCTCTTCCTATCCTGTAATTTGATTTGTGTGCAAAAACTCTCATTTTTAATTTTTTCACATTATTCAAAACGCGATCAGTAAGTGTAAATAAATGAAATTTTGTAAATGAAGAAAAGTATAAATTTAAAGTTTTTTTTTATAAAGAGAAGATATATTTATTTTTAATCTTCTGTCTGCAATCTGAGTCTTTCTTGGCACAAGCAAAATTTCACTTTCAAATTTTTTCTTTATTTCTCAATTTTTATTAAATACAAAGGTTTTAACATTTGAATTAAAAACCTAATGTAATAGAGATGTTGTAAAGTAGCTCTGAATTTTTGAAAATTTTTGAAAAGCCTATAAAATAGTAAGAAACTTGGATTGGATAAAGAAGATTCAAATTGTAGATAGAGAATAAACATACGATTGCAAATGGAGGATACATTTACATAAGCAAATCTATTTAATTATAATTCAGTTAATATTTCCGCATCAATATTGAAATTCTAATCAACAACGAATCTAAGAAAATTTATTGAAGATTACGCTCGTGAAAGTTAAATATCTTTCGTATACATTTCGAAATTCAATCGCGATTTAGATCGATGCAAAGAGAATGCAGAGAAACCGCGGTTATTTGTTGCTGGGAAAGGAAGGACAAGTGGAAAAACGGCGAAATTGTTCTCGCTCCATTTGGAAATTTCCTTCGAAAGTTAAATCCGGGAGAGGATTCTCTCGAGCGTGTCGTTATTCGAAGGCAAAAAAGACGGCGGCGGCGGCGGCAGCGGGATGCGACACGGCTTTTTTTGCTTTTTGCTTCGAGCTTTGTTTTGTATATTCATGAAATCGTTGTGAGTAGTTCGCTTAAAGAGATTAGGATTAGTTGCATGGTTGAGATTACCTTTCCGTCGGTACCGCGGGCGCTGCGCCTTGAGCGAAGTGTACATCCAAAGAGCATCTCTTTAGAGCATTTCTTCGATCCTAGGACACTTTAAATAATGATTTTATGCGACGAAATATAATATAGTACCTTTCTGATCGGTTTATAGACTAATAAAAGAGAAAGGATAGATAATGAACTCATAAATTGCATTTATGCAATTCTGAAAGTTATTATGTCGAATTGGCATTATCTTATTATATATATATATAT